TTTTTTATGTTTATTCAACTTATTCAATCTCTCTTGTAACTTAATAATTGTTGAAGCATTTGCCTATTTCAAGAATCCATTTAAAGTTAATATTGTTTGCTAAGTTCATTTGTTTAAGATAAGTTTGGGTTCATTATTGCTTATTTCGTTTTATTTTGGTCACAGGGTTAAACAGGGCTATGGGGCGTTTTAAGCATTTGGTTTTTGAGCAGCATGAGGAGAAGCTGCAGTTTGCCTGTTTGGAAAATCTTAAATGCACATTTTTGTTTGGACAATTTATTTTCTCTACACTGCATAAAAGCCAACCTGAAAATGCCCAAAGTAGCCGTTTGATTTGTTTTGGTTAAAGTTGGTCAAGGTTTAAGTTATGGACGAATCACTATCACAATAACATTGACCTAAATACGCCTAACTAAGTCATACTATGTACAGGTGAAACTCAGAAAGTATTGTTCAAAAGTTAATTAATTTGTACATCTCAACTTACAATGTGAAACTATTATATGACAGATCTCAAAAGAAAGTGTGAACTGTATGCAATAATGTCAGAAGGTGCAATGTGTGGTCCAATGTGTGTCACTTTTAGCCCAGCTACTGTATTCTAACATACAGTAGCTTCACATCCTCATGCTTTTCCACTGAAATTTCCCACACTCCGTAACAAATAAAGGATCTCTTAATTTTGCATCAAGCCTTTCTTTGTTGTGAAGCTGATAATCCTGGCTCACAGTAAAAAACTCAAGCACAGGCTCTGCATATGTGATTTTGCAGTAATTAGTGACTTAGTTAGACCGCTGGATCGAAACACGTAGGCAGTCCATTTTCAATAAAGGACTTTTATAATTTTTCACTTCAACAAAGTGCCCCAGGCCTCCTCTTTTTTGACCCTTTGATCACCACACAATGATCGGGTCAAAAATGGACTATTTCTGATTGCCTTGTCTTTGAAGAGCACCTGTTTGTCAAGCCTTCTACCACTCGGACCTTCTGCAGCACGCACCTTCCTTGTTTCGAACCATCATGTATTGTTTATTGGTTTTTGGTTGAATTAGAGAAATGAATAAACTTTTGAACAATATCATACAATTCTGTGGATGTGTGTGTGTTTACATATTTTGCCTGAAATATTTGATCAAATACAGTTCATCATTCAACAAAAAAATCATGAAATGCCAAATATGAATCGTTTATTTTTGTGCTCGCTGCATGATCTAAGAGGTTGTATCCCGTACATTGAGTCGTCACCCCTGTTGTCCCGGTGACACACAACTGTCTCTGAGCCTGGCGCTAATGGAGAAGTAAATGAGAGGAGGCTGCATGTCTTTTGCTCTGTTACTCTGCATCTGCTTTTAAAGAAATGCCATAAGAGCACACAATGCAACAGTGGCTTTTGTTCTATAACCCCAGGTTTTTGGCAGCGCAATTTCATGCTTTATCAGGAAAAATAAGGTTCACTTGAAAATGATTGACATAAAACTAAAATGAAGGGCTATGAGGTCTTTCTTACCTGTAGATAATCATACAAAAGCAATTCAGAATAATGCAAATTCAGCTGGATGTGACAGCCTCATAATATGCCTCTGGATATCGTGCCAGCCTTTAGCATTTCTGTAACATTACATGATTTTAAACTCAATACTACTTTACCCATACGCCCTTAGGGATCCATGAAAAGTGTTGTCTAGAAGCTGCAGCTGAAGTGCCTATTCCCCGGCGAGCGCTCAGGAGCAGGTGTAATACAGTAAAGGTGTAAATGCGGCGGACTCACTGTAGTGTGGATAATGAGGAACAGGTGAAGATCGATGTGTTCAATGTCACGGTGAAGGGGAGGAAAGCTCAGCACTAATGTTTCTGCTGCAGCACCTTTCACACTCACTGCTTTCACACTGTTAGCACATCTGATTTGGCCCCCGCAGGCCCACACTGGACTCCGGCTCAGAGGGACACTTCAGTCTATGGGGTAAACTCTCTCTAAAGTGGAAGAGAGAAAGGCGTGGGTTCTGCTGAGTCGAGTTTTTCCACTTTTGTTTGCTCTTTCGTTTTGTTTTTGTTTAATTTATTTATTTGATAGAGACAGTACATGTTAATAAAAATGGATGTTAGTCTATTGACCAATGACAGTTTTTGTATTATTGTGTTTTCTTGTGTTCAAATTATTTGATTCCCTAATCCAGGCGTGTAAAACAGGTCAATGGACAATTTATGTCCAATATCAGTGCCTACTGTTGTGATTTTGGGGGCGATACAAAAAGCAAATGTCATCAAATGTATATAACACGCTATACTTATTTCCATCTGATGTTGCAGAAAGCGGGGGGCACAGGGGTCAACATACCACTACAACAAATAAAACATACATCAATAACCAAATAAGTTCACTTTATTACACAATGTTTTGAATGATCCCATAATGCCTTGTCATGTTTTTCCATTTTAATAAAACAATCTGAGCTGAAAGAGGAACTAGAACTGACCAATATACTGTATCTTACCAGAAGACAGCAAGACTTTGTTCAAGTATGAAAAACTTACTTGACAAAAAGATATTGCGTTATTTTAAATGCATCACACATCTCGAGGGAAAGAGACTGGCTAAAAACGTAGGAGTTGTATTTCTGGTATCGTTCAGGGATTTCTGTATGTTAAATACGCCTCACATGGTGTTATTTAATCACTTGGTTCATGGTGGGGGTGAACTACACTAGGGCAGACTGAAAGAAGCAGAGCAACTACTCTGCCATTGCCCCCTCTGGCTACAGCCAATCATTTACCCCCTCATTCTATGGAATGTGGGAGAAGTACAGTTTGGCACAATACAGCCACCCAACTGCGGCACCTGGTATTCCCAGAGGTCTCCCATCACATTGCTAACCAGGCCTTACTCTGCCCTGCTTTCTCAGCTCCAATGGGATCAGGTTTTCACAGGCAAGTCATGCCACTAAAACCACATAGTATATCCATGCCTCAGCTCACTAAACCATTTTTTGTGCCTTAAATGTAATGCAATTTGGAAATGGAGGAAACTATTAAATACATGTTGTGGTGATTTGCTCAGTTAGTAGAGCGTGTGACCTCTGGGCTGATGGTCGGCGGTTGGAAGGCTGCTCCTGACATCAACATCATTGGTTGTGTGGTCAAATAAACTGACAGCCGTGTGTCCTGGGCAAGACACTAAACCCTCCTCGCATCAGTGTCTGCGTACACTGGTATATGAATGTGTGTGTGATGGAGTGATTAGTTCCTTGATGTGAAGGGATTTGAGTGCTTTGAAAAGGTAGAAAAATGCTATTTGACAATCTACAATTCTTTGGTATAAATAAGAATGAAATTATACATCTAAAGCCCACTCTGCTACAATAGGCTACTACAGTATTAATGATCCATTTGACTTACAGTGTATTACAATAAATCCATGAGTTCACATGTGTTACCCATGTCTGCATAGATTTCCTCCAGGTGCTCGAATTTCCCCACCACCCACATTTGCATTGTAGCAACCACTTCTCCCTATGGGTACTATAAAGTATTTCTTTCAGTTCCCTATAAGGTATACACCATGCACACACTTACTTGCACACACACATATACTATAAAGAGTCAGTCTGACAACATGCGCTGTGATTATTCCTGTCATGAGTCTGGAAATGTTTAAGCTGCTCACCAACATCCTTTGATTATCTTCAAAGTAGAAAATGATGGTGAAGGTGGAAATACCTTTGGTGTCTCATTCAATATGCAAAAACTGTTCTTACCACTTTCAAAGATTGAGTTTACTATAAATGTCTTGATGTGACAAGTGAGTTTGTGCCAACCAACAATACATTTCAGTTCACCACCAGCCATTCAACCAATGTTACCTGCAGTGAGTGATGGATATTTCATGAACATGGCCCATACCCCTTTACTAGAGAGACTTCTGAGCCAAAAAACTGTTTTTATTTTCCTTCCTGCTCCAGTTTTTTTCTTGATTTTCAACCAACACATTACAGCACATGCCTTATACACTCTGTTATCCTTGATTTGAGCTCAGTCACTTACAGGGAACACTAATAGAAGGCGTTGTGACCTAAACCCAATTACCCAACTATCATATGTGGTGCTAACCCCAACCTGTCTGATGTGATTTCTAGTATAAGGACATGGCAACGGGCAAAAATGTATCCAACCTTCACTTTGCCTGGCTTATAAGTGGATTCTTATCAGGGTCATAGCTCAGCCCTATTCTTTTACCCTCTATACCCACTTCAATATCTCCCCTCTGCGCTGTTCTGTGCTCTCCCCACTCTTTATTAAGCCCTTATCTGACGTTAAGAGTTCCGTTGTGCGGCTGCGGTTTTTATCTCTAAGCTGCACTCATCTTCTCTGTGTAACTTTAAAGACTTAATAATTGAATCTGCCATCTAAGTGATTTCATTATGGGATATACTGACACCAGACAATGATGTAACAATTGCAAAGTATTTCTTTCTTTTTTGAGTACAGTTCAGTATACTTACTATACATTTACTAAATCATCTCAAATTACCTTACATTTAGCAGTCTCCATGATTGCCCTTTGCTTCCTCCCAATCATCATTGCATCACTCCTTTGTGAAATCTTGTTCACTGCTGCCATCTATGTGCAGTCCTGTTGTATTGCAAGTAATTTTGTAAAGAACTCTCCAGAGGTGTATGTTGCAGAAATGGTGCCATCAAGTGGATGTCGGATTGTATTACTGTCATTGCTGAGATTATCTGAGTAAAGAAAAGCTCCCTCACATCATTTTAATAACAACACAACACATTATTGAAAATTTGTTTTATGTCTTGAATTTATATATTGTGCCTTACATATGCAGTAAAGTTTTGTATTATTTGTGGTTTCGCCATTTTACACCTCACACATATGAACTGTGAAAATCAGTTGCTTCTCTGTCTGTCTTCCGTCTGGCTTCGGACAAACTGCTTCAATATAAAACCTTCAAAGGATTCAACACACAGTCAACAATCCCACATGGTTCTTAGCTTGCGGCCTTGTTATTTCTCTTCTTCTTCTTCTTTGGGACTTGCTTCTTGGAAGATTCACTCGAGATTTCGGGTTCTGGTTTCGAAGTGGTTTCTGCAAGAGGTTTTTCCATAGTTTCCCTTGAAGCTTCCGCCACAATTTTCTCCTCTTGAACTTGAACTTTTACTTCTTCAGCTTCGGGAAGTTCAGGGTTTGCTTGCTCTACGTTTATTGGCTTGATGTTTGCTTCTGTCATATGGTCAGCTGGTGTTGATTCAACTTTCTCTAGAATAACAGCTTGTTCAACCTCTACATCGTCTTTGGGTTTCTCCATTTGAGTTGGTTCTTGTGGGCACTTCTCGATCTCTTTTAATGTGTCTTCCACTTCCTGGTCTTTCCTTGCTGTTGGTGCTTCTAACTCTTCTTTCTTCACCTCTTCTTCGGAATCCTTTTTGGTCTTAAACTGGGCAAACGCAGATGCAATCTTGTCTTCTTCCAAGTCCAATACGGCCACCTCTTCCACGGTATCCACGTTTTCAAACAGCGAATCTGCAAAAAGCTGAAGTTTGGCCTGCTCCTCTTTGAGACGGGCCATGTCCTGGGTCAGTACAGGATCCTGACTTTGCAATTCGTCGATTTCCTCGTGAGTCAGAATGTTGTCAGACTCCGGGGGTGGAAGGTCCATCGGTTTGCACGAGATGTTGGCGTTGGAGTTGCGGACATCTCGGATTTTGTCATAGAGGATTTTGCGTTCGTCTTGTAGGGAGCGACAGAGTTTCTCCAATTTATGGATCTTCAGGACAAATAAGTCGTATTCTTTGCTCTTTTCGGTTCTCTGTGAAGACAACGATTGATAAGAACGTGACTTAAAGGAAACTAACTGCAAGACAACTGTAATGCATGAGATTTGAAGCTACAGTACGTAACTTTCTGATGACGGAAAATCACATGAATTATTCCATGGAAGTAAAAAGTTAAAATAACTCGACACTTGTGTAAACTTAATGCTCTATTTTGAAAGTTTTTTTCCCTAAATTAGCAAATTTCCATTACAGCAGAGCCATGTTTGTGGAATTATGTAAGCCCACTCAAAGTTAGAAATTAGCCTTTTTTTTTCTTTTTCAGTTTTTTTTACAGGCTATGTACTTCTGTGTACATGTGCCACATGGCTCAAGTTACATGCATGCATGATTTCAAAATAAACATTATAATAAAAAAATAAAAAAAAATAACTAACTTTTGTTTAATAAAACATGTTAAAAGGGATGAATATTGCAAATTATCCTTGGCTTTAAATGTTGTAGTGTTTCACATGTTGGTTTTGTACACGTGTCCCTGTCAAATAAATAAATAAATAAAAATAATATATTTTGACTGACCCAGAAAAACAGAAAGAGTCATGTATCAGGAACAACATGTACATCAGAGCACAATAGTACGTCATCTTTTTTTAAAAACAATATATCTTTTACATATTTCGGAGGACTGACTGGCAAAGTGAGATTGGAAAAAAGCTGCTACAAAGATAAGACGGGGGCCTAAAATACATGTATGTAATCCCGCCTCGGTCAGTTCTACAGCCTGGATCCCGTGGTTTCAGTCCTCGTTCTACAGCCTGAGTCCTGGATCTATAGCCTGAGATTTACCACTTTTTTACTTTTTTTTTTCTTTTCTTTGCTGATGCAGAAGGATTTTAGGATTTTTAGGACAGATATTCCTAAAATTTAGGTGATATTCCAGGTCTTTAATAACATCTATTAACATTTATGGACATTGGTTATCTGCCTCTTATGGCCAAATCTTGTGTTTGATTCTCTGATCTGTGTTGGCAAATCAACAACTTTGCAAAGTCCTCCGAGATGACTACTGTCTAGAGTTAGGGTTATACAAAAATACATTGAATTTAATAGAATTGAACTGTAAAAACTAGTGATAGAACCAAAATGTTTTGAAACCACGAAACTTAAAGAAGTGAGATGGCATTTATCATAAAGCTTATTTTTTGTGATTTTAAAAAAGGTACCCCTGCTTTAACTGTACAAATCCAAGAAAGGACAGGAGCTACTTCTTATTCCATGCACATCAAAAACATCTCTATGGAGTCGAGCAGGTTCAGAAGTTAATCGCATTCATAGTGGAATGTATGGTGCTATCTTCCTATCGCAAATGGATTTCATAATGATTCATATGGACATTGAGTTAAAGAAATTGGTTCTTGCTAGCATGATAATCACGTAGTTCATTGGATCACAGCTGAATCTCTCTCATCCTTACCTCCTCGAGCATGTCGGTCAGGGCTTTGTTGCAGTTCTCAAATCTGGTCTTCCACAAGTTGGACTCTTTCTCTAACGTCTTCATCTTTTCGGACATCTACAGGAGAGAAATGCAGACAAAATGAAGCAAAAGGTAACTCTCAACATGAAATGAGGCATGGGTAAAAAACACATTATCTTCCGTCATAAATCAACAGCAGTCAGTGGAAGTAGTGGTTTCCATCTAAAATACTTGAATGCTTTCAGTTACATGGAGTTTAAAGAGAATCACATGACATTTTACTCTGGCGCCTAAAGGGTTAAACCGTCTCAATAAGTTGCGTTCATTGTCGGGAATTGTATTTCAGTAGGAGGGCAGGTGCCGATACAACTCATAGGAAGGAAGCAATTTTGAAATAAATTGGGAAAGAAAGTGTCCCAAAAGTTGTAAAGCGCTTTGTGACTCTGTTTTGTGAAAGGCGCTGTATAAGTAAAGATTACTTACTTAATTACTTACTTAAAAATGTTTTCCCAGATCATCATTTGACTGTAGTGCTGTGAACCTCTGGGTTCCTTATAAACTTACAAAATCCAGTATGTTCATGATACAATATTATCACAATATGGCAATACTTTGCACATAATTGTCAAGAATATATCACAATATGTCCAATACAAAAGATTGGTTATTTTTACAAATAAATAAAATATTTACAGAAATAAATACTTTTAATCGATATTTCTCTGGATATTCTCCTATGGTAGTTTAATCCTTAAAAAAAATGACTACAGTTGTGTTTGTAACAGGACTGGAGAAAAGGCTGTGTATTGGTAGCCTGGTCTTACCACACCATGGTACTAATTTCATTTCGTACGGCCTGGATTTTCTCCATTGAGCTCCGTTAACAGGTGGGAGGGGTTAACTTCATTCGCAGATTGAAACGTTTGGATCTGAGTTTACCGTGATGTATGTAATGCGCCCGAGTGAGTCGTTAGCATTTAGCTTTTAGCCTAGCTTTAGCCATCTCCTTTGCCACTGACAGAGCTAAACATTCCTCTTGCTCTGGCTTCAATTTCTTGACATTTGGGAGCCGAACCGGAAAGCCAAACTAAAAATTCGGATGCAACTAATATTGCCGACTTTACAGATTTTGATAAATTATGTGTATGTTTTCATGACTGTGGGACACACCATAATTGATTAGCTCAGGATTTACAGAAAGAACAAAGAAAGCTCTAAACTAAGACTAGAAATCTGACTGAAGTAAAAATGCTCTTTGGATTGCCCTTGAATAAAACCAATATTTACAGTGTGTATAATTGAAAACTCACATTGTCCATCTCTTTCTTGAAGCGATGGAAGATTTCATTGCTTTTGGCCAAAGTCGCTTGAAATTCGTCAAACTTCTGTGCGTATAGAGCCAGCTGCGGAGAAAGACATTTGCTTTAGTCACAGTCACACACAGTTCAGACAAAGCTTACATCTTACTCCTCCGCCTTTTGAATTTATGAATCGAAGCAGAGAAGTGGCACCATCTGCTCCTCAGACAAACCCATGCATTTTAACACGTTTTACACAAAGCTCAGTTTCATCTTTCTTACAGCCACACACCAATGCAGTTGTCTACTTTGAACCAGATTTTGAAACAGCAGTGGTCTTTGGCTTTGCGTTAATAGGGTTGATATGGTGCACTCATAAGCATTAAACAAAAAGCGTATAAGAACAAATACTATACATTATTCTATAGTTATTGCTGTGATGGGAGACCTCGGGGAACACCAGGTGCCATAGTGGGACGGCTGCAGCTGTGAAATGCTAACCGTTTAACCTTTGGCAAGACACTTCACTCACATTGCCTATTATGGATCAAGTGAGCGCTTAAAGGGTTGAGGATGGTCAGAAGGGTGAAAGGCACAGATTACCGGTAGCTGCCTCACTTCTGTCTGTCTTGGCTACAGTAACAGTTGGTATACACAGAAAGGTCCAACATTAAACCGATGCAATATTAAGAGATAAACAAAATGGACCAACTCGTCTTGTGGTTCGAGCGGGTCTTCATTCTGCTATTTTGATTCATTTCCAATCTGATGTGGTCTAATTGATTGCGTGCCTTTCTAAATAATGCGAGTCATGGTCTGAGGATTCGTCATAGCATTCGGACAAAAGAGGAGGAATGGGGACGGGGTGGATTTGTTTGTTCATAAGTTCCTGATATTATGGATGGAGCTAAAAACAACCTCAAGGAACATAATTATAACCTGATTGAAAGCTTGTATATGATTCAGCATAATATGTTTCCTTTTGAGACATAATCATTCAATACCAGGCCCTTTGAAGTTAAAACAATTTTCTTGTCAATGAAGCTTGACATTGTCTCCTTCCAATCTGCATATAATACGTCTGTATTCATGTATTATTATTATAAATGTCAGAGGTGGTACAAGAATGCATAGCTTGTACTTTCCAAACCCTCTCATGATGACCTCCCATGATGGTATGACTACGTAAGTATGCATTACTAAAGCATTTAACATTGCTACTATGATTGTCGTTGTTTCCTTGATATATTCACCTGCGTTTGCATGACAGTCCCCTGCTCTCTGAGAGTGTGAGTCTGCAGTTTCCACTCTGCAGCCTGAACCAGTAACTACAGAAAAGACCACAGACACAGTCAACACAGAGGCTTTACCTTCTTCTTCATGGACAGCTCCTGCTCCTTCAAACCGAAGCATTTCTTTGTTTTGTCAATAGCCTCCCTAAGCAGCTAGTGACAGAGACATACACAGTCAATCTACGGCAGACAAAACACCACCAAATGGACTTTGCATTTGAGTAATAATAAAGCTGCTGCAGAAGGCGATGCACTTAAGAAAATCAATGAGCCTTTGTTTGTTTTCTTTTTGTACGCTGTTTCTGGGGCTGTTCGTCTATGCATAAGCACTTTGTGAAAGAGAATTATGCGTGTTGAAACACCTTGTTCTGTGTAGGAACCACATGTAATGTGTTTGAATAGACTCTTTTCAACTTTGCATGATGATTTCCTTCATATTTATCTCTTCATGGACAATATATTTATTTACCCTGCGGTTGTAACCTGATTTTTGTGAAGATGCCCTAATCAGTCATCTTCACAAAAAAGTTTTACAATAGACATTGAAATGTCCTCGCTGTGGGACCAATAACGGAAAACTTATCTTATCTTGATCCAATACTTAAAAAAAAATACAAAATAGAATTATGAAGCCCAGGCAGTGGATCATTCAGTTCACCTTTAGGACAATCAAACTTAGCTTGTTTTGATTTAATCGTTACATTCTGTCCATTGAGTAAAACTTTAAACCCTCATGGACATTTTATATGAATTATTTAAATATGTAAGAAATGCCATCATCGCCATATCTGCTTGTGCTTGATTATCTGACTCTCTGCAGCAGGAAAAGTGCCAATTCACTCCCATAGAAATGAAGTGGATTGGATCATGTCAAATTAAACCCTGTCACGTTCCCTTTAAATTATGAGATTGAGCGTAAATATTATATTGAATTTACATATTCCTTCTCCCTCTTGTGCTTGTCCTCGGCCTCCACCAACAGAGCGTTGGCCTGAGCCAGTCTGGCCTCAGTCAGCTTCTGCTGCAGGTCACGGTGCTTGTTGATCTTCTCCAAACTCTGCAAAAAATGCAACACAAATGCAAAGACATAATCTTGGGTCCAGGGAGTGTTTAAGTGAAGGCCGTGGGCTGACCTCCTCCCTGAGCTCGCACTGGTTCATGAGGCCCTCCAGCTTGTCTGTCAGGCTGTTGTTTTCTGTGCACAGTTTGTCATTTCGCACGTTGTGTTGTTCGATCTGCGCCTGGATTTCTGTCAGCATCTCCTGGAAGTGGCTCGTCATCTCGTTTCTCTTCTTCTCTTCTTCTCTGCAGCTCTCAATGGTCTGTTCCTGAAAATATCACATAAAAAAAAAATATTGTGGTTTATTTATAGTTAGGGAAATGTACCGGATTTCGGTCATAAATAAGTAAAAAAAAAGAATTGTAATAGTAGTTTATTCCAGTGTTTGATAAGAAATACAAGAACCTAGGAAATCCTGTTTGGGCAAAGAAGCATATTTTTCATCTATTAAAGACATGTGCAATTACGGCGAGACTAGTGGAGCTAATTGGAAAGTGGCCAGAAATTCAGACAGGAAGGTCTAAGCTCACTGCGCTCAAAGTCCTCCCACTGTCGATGCACGGCAACAGCAGCAGTCACACTCAGCTGCAGCGCTGCACTGCCCATTCTAAACTGGCAGCAATCAAGCATTGCCCCGCAGCAAGCTTCATATTGCGGGGAAGCTTCATTTAAGCAACAGCTTTCATGCAGCAACCATCCTCCTCCCCATGTCCTTCCCTTCTCTGCCTTGTCCAAGGCCGCTCTTGCATCCTTCTCCTATGTACCACCACCAGAGTCTAGGCCCCGGGGGAATTCAATCTCATAATCTTTATCTTAATTTCTCCTTCTGCAATTGTCATGCAACGCTCTGCCGGTGTCTAAGCGCCAAATCTTAACCACATTTCTTGTACAGCATGCAATAATGTATCTTGAAAATATTGTCTTCAGAGTCGTATGTAGTACTCATTTAAGCAGTGTCAACCATTATATAATTATAATGAAACTGCTGTTTTGTTTTTTTAAGTCTCAGCCTCCAGATTGAACCACACATTTATATTCCTCTACAATAAACTCTAGAATACACATTGTTTTTTTAGAGATGTTCCAGGCATGTCTCAGAGAGAGACCACCATTGCGTGTGTCTTCTTCGATTGCTGTCCCTGTGAGTGCCCAATTTGAAATTTTGATTGGATTGTGTACTTTTCCCCTTAAAAATCAAAAAAATTACAAAATCTGACCATAAAAATCCGTGGAAACTAACATTTTTTCCGCATTAGTTTGGCCCTTGGTTCGCTGATTTATATTTAGACCTATTGAATAAAACCTTTGGGACCTGGTCATCGCTGACAAAGACATAATCATTTTCTCCTGTTCCAACTCCTCCCCTGGATCATTGTCGTCAGAGCGGACATCCCAGCTCCAGTCCCAGCTCCAGTCCCAGCTCCAGATGTGTCCTCACCCTGAGCACGGTGTAGGCGCGCTGCAGCTCTCGGCACAGCGCCTCCAGTTTGCTGCGGGCCATCAGGTTGTTCCTCTGCTCCTTCTGCAGCAGCTGCCTATCATCCAGCAGCTGACTGAACTTGCGTTGGAGCAGATGCAGCTTGTGCTCATCACTGCGACGGAGTGATGCCTAAACACAGACAAGGCAGGATATTTTGTTTTATATCATCATATTTAAATGACAAATTATACAGAAATTATTTGCATCATAGATCAGTTAAACCAAGAAGGCATACAAGCTAGAATACCAGAATAACAGGGATGCAAAGTAGAGGACTTAAAACTGCATTGTGAAAGGGACACATATGAAATGGATATTGTCAGACGTGAACACAAAAATACATTTTGCAGGATAAAATAAACATAATCACTCGCACCATTTCAGCATATTTCTTGACCAGCTCCTGCAGCTTTTCCTCTGGAGAAGACAGCGGGACCAGACTTTGCTGGATAAGTGACATTTCTGTGAGATGGCACATAAATAAAAGTTTATTTTACATGAACAATAAAGTTTCAGGATGCAATTACCATTCAAATGTAATTTATATCTGTAATTCAACTTAACCTTCCTATTGTCTCTCTGACCCCGGGGATACTGTATCCAGAAAATGATTTACAGAATTTTGTTAACCATGTTTTTGTTACAGGCACTTTGTTTATTGGTTGAATACATAAATAACTCCTTGAAAATTAGTGAGTTGTCCTCTCCTCTAGCGCCCCCATTAGGACAAACATTTAAATTAGAATTAATTCAGTTTTCATATAAATCTTCTAAACATTTACTTCTCAATTATAATGACCACAATTGTCGGAAATAACAGCGCCCACGAAACTAAGCAAGTAAGTTGCCTTGTTTGTTTGTCATCAAAACATGGAATGTCTTCAGAGACATGTGGCTGGAAATATAGCTCTTCCAGTCTCAGCATTTCGAAGGCTGGCTGTTGCTTCACCTCTTGATGAAACTCCTGCTAAAATTAGCAACCCAGTGTAGGCTTCAAAGTCAACTGCATCCAAGTCTTTCCAACAATGTCAACAACATGGCTGATTGCACCGATCTGGAGGGTCCTGGAACCATTTAGACATTTTTAGTAGCGCTAAGTCTAGCCTACTGTTTCGGTGGTTCCATTTTTGGAAGAGACTGTGTCTGCTGCTGGTCAATGGACAACAGGAGGGTCACCACTCTCATTCTCATTAGATGAGAATTCCTCAGAATCAGGCTCCTCCTCAACACAGACCTCTGTCTCAGAGACAATCTCCTCTATGTCACTTTCACTTTCAAAGAGCTGTTCCAAAACATATTTGACAGTAAACCTTTTCTCAGAAGACATTTTCAAAGAGAGAGCGTGCAGATTGAAATATACTCAGAGCCCAATGAGGAATGATTTGGATAGAGAAATCGTCCCAAATGTATATATAATATGCTTTTTGGAATCAATAAGTTCACAAAAAACACAATCACAGAAGTCACAAGTTCTTTACCCGGTGCACTCATCTCATATCATATTCATTGACTCCAAATTAAACTGGTTCAATGACAGTATAACATTAAATCACACGCACACACAGACAATACAGTAGTGATTTTTTGAAGAATTGTAAACTTTATGCGCAAGTGATCTATAAAAGAGAACGTGATCTATGAGGGCTTGGGAGAGCCAATAAAACCTAATAACATAATCAGAAGGTAATTTTAGCACAACATTTAGTCCTGGATAAAAGATAAAATGGACACTTGTTGGATCAAGAGATTATGACAACTGTTAGAGTGAAATGCTGTTCCCTTCTGCTCTACCAAAAATCTTCTCACAACAATCCGGCAACTCTAATCTATGTCTAATGCAGGAATGATGACAGACAATGGGCACATTCGTTACACATCACCTCGCGTCTAATTCTGATGTGGAAACGCAACTGTTTGTGTGAGTCAAGCCTTGATGTCATAAACTGTGTTGGGCCAATGCAGGTTTAACTGCTGCTATCTTTTCAAAATGAAGCCTCAGCTGCTAGAGTCTGTTCAACACGACCTTTCAATTTGATGAACTTTAGCCAAAAAGACAATTCTCAAGCCAAGTTAAGTTATCTGTGTATATGTATAGTTGAAATAGTTTTTACCTGTTTCTATTGTGACGCTATGGTCCTCTTCCTCCTTTCTTTTGTCCATGTCTGATTCCATCCATGTCTGGGAAAATAAACACAACGACAAAGTGACAGGTGATAAGTAATGTGTAAGTGTAATACAATATCTAACCAATAATATTAACAAAAACAACAATAATAGAAACCAGATTAGATAAGAGTGAAGGCAGAAGAGCTTTTTAGAGTTGTAATACTACTTTATAATTGTGAATCATTTAAAGATTAAGACTAAGAGATCATTTCAAAGGTGAAGTATTTCCGTCTACCTGTTGTTCCAGGACGCTGGGGCCTTTGCTGTAGCTGCTCACAATCTCGTCCAGTCGTCTCCTGAACTCGTCCATGGGGCTGAAGGAGGCTGCAGTCTCCTCTTCCTCCATCAGGGAGCGCTCTGTGACGTCTGGGGGAAGCACCACCTCAGCTGCTTTCACTGAAGCATCCATAGTCTGAGGAAAAATAAACAATATTCTTCAGTCGTTCAAAATACTGACCAATTCAGGGTCTTATTTTTGTAAAATTCAACGTTGATCTGCAATTATTCCTACTGTTGTATGATGATAATAATAATAATAATAACGATAATAGTAATAACAACAATAATGATTATAGTAATAGTTGTAATAATAATAGTACTAATAATAACACTGATTCAAATCAATATACATAATAATAATAGTAATTAATTTGTTTTGCAATTTCAAAGAAACCTCAAAGATAAAATAATAATCATAAAAAGATAATAATAATAAGACCAGACACACAAAAACACCAATTACAACAAATTATACAGTAGATCAAGTACATGGATATCAAGTGCAGTAAGAAATATAAGAAATAAAATGCTAATAAAAGTGGTCCACTATGTTTTCAAATTTGACTTTATTTTTTTAGTATTTGAAACGGGACAACGCACATTATTGTAAATGTGCCCGAGTTAGCTAAATTAGGTTAATTTTCATTAGTAGTCCCGCAGGCAGATGTGAAGGCCAGCGCAAGAATGAAAAACTAGATACATGTTTTTAGGGCTTTTTAAAGGCTTCCTCTCTCACAGTTTCTCGCTGGATGTGCAGAGGCGTATAGACCTGCGACCTGAATGGCCCTGTCTCCCACGGTGAGAGCCTGGACCTGGGCTGGTGCAGACTGTGGGTGGAGGTCAAGTGGAGGCAGAGTGCTCCCTGAGGTCAGCTGTGGACAAACTGTATGTGGTCTATTATTGAGCTTTTTGTGTGTAAATTATTAGCCTTCCGAGACAGGAGATGTTTAGGCTGCCCTCAATTGAAATGTTGACTAAACTGAATACAATATTTACTGTGGTCACATGAGATGGGTTTTTTTTATCATATAGAGGAAGGAAGTATATATCTCATCTATGCTTTTGGTGTTTGTGTAACAGCCTTCTCACGGTAAGTTAGACAACAGTCATAACCACAAATATTGCAAAGGCATGCTCTATTTTCCAGATCATGTTTCTCTTCTTCTTCTTAAACTTTATTAATCCCCGTAGGGCAATTCAATCCTCTGCATTTGACCCATCCTGATGCCGTGAAGGCTGACGTCAGGAGCAGTGGTCGCCATAGTAACAGCGCCCGGGAACCCATCAGATGTTGATGCTCGGCTTGGTCAGGACTACCAGAGCTGGAGGATCTAACATAGTGAGCATGTTTTTAGTGGTAGGGGAAACCGGAGTACCCGGAGGAAACCGGAGTACCCAGAGGAAACCGGAGTACCCGGAGGAAACCTACGCAGGCACGGGGAGAACATGCAAACTTTGCCCAGAAAGGCCCCGAGTGTTTCTCATGTTCAGTTAGTGAAGTCATTATTGTCCGTGGGTATTAAACTTGTTCAAAATATGTCACAGAAAGCAGATGGAGACAATCCCATGACTCAAACAAAATATTTTGCGTTACATTTTACTTTGTCATTTCATATCAATTGATGTGAAATTGTATAATTTAAAAGTAAGATCTTTGGCGGAACAAATATTTAGGTTAAACAATGCTGTTAACCTGTTTTCTCCCTATGCTACCACCGGAGTTAGGGGTAGAGATATTATTTTTTTTAAAGCAAAATCAAGGACTGAGACATGAGCTTTTACACAGAAGGGATGAATTTCATATTTGTTCCAGAAGTTCCTGATTTTAGCATGGATGGATCTAAATTCAATTCCTTGTTTGTTTTTATGAGGCATCAAATTGATTTGTCGATATATGTTTTCTTCTTTATTGTGTTCAGAGAGTTGAGAGAACTTTGCCATACTGTTTCTTTGTTTCTTGTTGATCCTGTACTGGAGTAGGCATTCTTTCATAATATCCTTAGTTATATTTACACTGAGAAGAGCAGCATGCAGTTCTCAGGCACAGCTGCCACACAGGGCTATTCCTGGAACCCCATATAAGGCGTGGCAGAAGCTGGCCCCCACCCCCACGCTGTCACTGTTAACCTGGTGGTGTCAACATCTCAACCCTCACCTCTCAATGGAGCAACACAAACCAGATGTATTGGAAACTTAAATGGTAAATGTCTTTCAACCTGAAGTCTTTTCTGTTAAAAAAAATAATAAAACACAAATGCAAAATCTAGTAGCAATAAGTGGACAGTTGGGCCCCAATGCCTTCACCTGAGGCCCCCAGTCATACCTTAACATTACAATGTGAATGAGAAATGGTGCATCACACAAAGTGAGAGAGAATGTTCTTAATACAAGCACTGGTTAGACCCGCCCATGCTCACCTCCCTCTTTCCTGAATGAATGAAATTAATGTAAATCCATGCCTGACAAGGATGACAGGCAGCAGACGCCCCTCCCCATTGGATTTAATTATTAAATTCCACATATCTTACTAGTGGTGCTTGTTGGAGTTTTAATCAAAATACAACTCTTGTTTTGTTGATAATTCACATGTTGATACAACTGCCGACCTGTAGAATGCTAAAGATCAATACTTCTACAGAGAGGTGTTTGCCAAAAAAGGAAAATGTGGTTCTAGGGTCGCAGGGCAGGCAAGCATACTGTATATCTACCGTACATGTTTTGCCATGAAAATATAAAAATATGTCTCTGGCAATATCATAACTAACACCTTTCTTGTTTTCATGATATCCCAGAGTGTGATATATTATCTGTCATCTCTCCCTCTGTCCCAATCATCTTTAGTCATACAACTTTCAATACTTTTGTGTAATTTGCTTAAAAAGTCAAATAAAAATCAATGGGGGCATCCAGGGGTAAATGTAACCTTTGTCATAGGCCTACAGGCATTGCAAAGGTGTTATGATCTCTTAAAACCTGGTTAAAGCCACCATGATGCTGTGTGACATGGCAGAATATAATTAGTTCGTTGAGCAACAGTAGCTATATTAGCAATCCCAACTATAGCACACAAAGTAGAAAATCCTCATCTAGTTCAACAACAAAATTTATTGAGCTAAACAAGTCTGTTGAAGAGGCTAATACTTCATATACGTTGTTTTAACCCGGAAAAATATCAAAGTCGTAAATTTTCCCACAATGGGACAAATAAAGGATCTCTTAATAACTCCAAATTCCTGGGAAATGGTTTCATAAATACATTCTGTATAATCACATTTGATTGGTGTGATGATAAATATGTTTTAGATTGTTAGTTTGAGTAATGTAAAAGAGTCTTACCCTTTGAGAGGAGAGCAGAGCACTGACATGGGACAGGGACAAAATGGAGGAGGGTCCAGTTGACAGCTGAGCCCCAAAATAACTCTGAGTACAGGACATCAAGCAGACCACAACACAAGTGGCTGGGTATTGAAAATGTAACTATTCAATGAAATTTTACGGAAGCTTGTTAGTTTCACTTGTGAGTGTTTTTTTTTTGCTGGTATCATGTTATTTCATAATACTTTCATGAAATAACATGATAAATATGTTATTTAATGATACCAATTTATCATGAAATAACATGATACTGTAGATACAGAAGAAGAAGCTGTCAGCTTCTTCTGATAAATTGGTATCATGGAATAAAATGATAAGTTGTGTATCATGAAATAACATGATAGTTGTGTTTCATGAAATAACATGATATTTATCATGTTATTTCATTAAAGTATCATGAAATAACATGATACCAGCGGGAAAAAAACACACTCACAAGTGAACTCGTTACTCACTCAAAAAACATAGTTTTGATCTATGTATTTTTGGCCTATTTCACATCGCAGCGTTTTCAGACAGAAAAGTATAAAACAGTGTTTCTTTCTAGCTCAGCGTAAAGTAGTGACTCATGTAGGGATTCTTATCCAAAAGATTTTTTCTTATAATATGAAGAGTTTGTGGTCTGCTTTGTTCACACAATTTTATTTGTACAATACTCTTTCGTGGAACGAACTAAAAAATGGAAAGGGAATTGTTGTTATATTTTGAGTTGTTCCTTGGGCTGATTGTACTTTTGCAGTTTGAAAATTATGGAAATCTCCAATTAAAAGATAGTGTACACTGAACATCCGAAGGCAGCGATCTCAACGACCGATTTCACACTCACAGTATCTGTTGTAAGGGATGTGGAAATGTATTGTTTATGAAGAAAAGGTTATGTACTCCAACAATTAATTGTGTCAAGATTTTTAGTTCTTTGTACATATCGCTAAATTACATACATAATTACTCATTCTTAATTTTTCAAACAGGCCCTTGTCTACAACCTAAATATGTGATGTTTTTTTGTATAATCACAGTTTCCTCTGAGTGAAACATGAATTTGATGTACAAAATGTTATCATTAACATAAAATATGATAAATACATATATGAATAAAAGAAAAAGTAAATGCAACCTCGGGACGCAATGAGAGAGCAGGAGCTACAACCAGGTGTCGCAACTGAATATTATATGTTCAGGCGATTGTAGTATCGCTTTTTACTATAAATGCTTGTTTTGTTTTTGGAACATCCATTCCATTTGACTCTGGGGCCATACACTACTAATGACAACATTCAAAAAAATTTAAAATTTTTATTTATTGAACAAACACACAAAAAACAGAGTCTGATACATTATATTATTCTATCACTAAACAGAAATGAATGAAGTAAAAGAGCTCGATATAACTTTGAAATATTCAACAAATGAAATTTGCATTCATCCAGTTCATACATTCAAGTTAATACATTATCTCAAATGTGTTTTCATTATTTGTTTAAACTGGGGCGACAGTAGCTCAGTTGGTAGAGCATTGGCTTTAAGCCCAGAAGGTCGTGGGTTCAATTCCCACCTCTGCACCTTCTCCACCGACTCCCACTGATGACTGCTGTCGTTGTGTCCTTGGGCAAGACACTTAACCCCACTTTGCCCCCACTGAAAGATCAAGGCTATGCTCACAGTCAGAGAGCAGCCGTCCTCCTGTGGACTCACCACCTGCAGAGGGTCAGTGAGGGGCTGGTGCTATGAGACTTGGGTGGCATCTCTGACTGCCACCCCCCTGACCCAGAAATGGATTAAAGGGTAGAAAATGGATGGATGGATGTTTAAACTGTTCCATTTTGAAAAGGTGCTGAATGAACAAATGGCTATTTATAACTTATACATGATATGACATTGACATACATCCTAATATTAATAATAAATATCATCATAATCATAATAATATAGATATACAAATTCTAATAACAACAACAGCATTTTAAAAAAAATGTTTTTCCTGGTATTCTAAACTCTTACAAAGAATTACAATGACATCATTTTTTCATTCATACTGGGGAGTGATAAGTAACTGTTGTAGTATATCCGTATATCCTGTAGTAGTAGTATGTAGCAGTGGTTCCCAACCTTTGGGGCCTGGGTGACTGTTCTGAAGGTGCCTCTCAGCTCTGGAGCCGAAACATGGTAACAAGAACTTTCAATATAAAATACAAGTATTCTTGCTGGTGAGAGGTCTGAGTGCCCCTGGTTGGGAAACATTGCTGTAAAGGTTAATGCAGCTGCTCCAGTTAAAGTCATTCTCACGCCATCCAACTGGTCATGGTCTTTTCAGATGAGTTCTTGGTTGTTGTTGTTGTGGTGCTGCTGTCTGAGCTCGACTGGAAAGAGAAGAAAGCCTTTGGACCTCGCTTTGTTCCAGATCTTTTGGGGAAACGCGATTTTGGTTTGTTTTTAGGCTTTTGTGGTTTGACATTGGATGGTTTTGGTTTGACATTAGGTGGTTTTGGTTTGACATCAGGTGACTTTGGTTTGACATCAGGTGACTTTGGTTTGACATCAGGTGGTTTTGTTTTGACATCAGGTGGTTTTGGTTTGACATCAGGTGGTTTTGGTTTGACATTTGGTGGTGGTTGAGGATTGAGATTGCAGTACTCCGGGTCCAAGGATCCCATCTCAAGGCTTTCGTAAATGTGGTCATCCGATGCAGAGTCATCCTGATCACAAAGGAGACATCAGATTATTCCAGAAAATGCTCAAATTGTAGCCGCCATTATATAAGTGGTACTCACTTTGCTTTTCTGGCAGCATCCTCTACTTTTTTGTCCTAATAGAAAAAATATAATACTAATAATCAGATGGTGTCTGCACAATCCACATTGAAGCATATTCAAAATTTTATTTTCTTTTCCACAAACCATTTGAAGATGTAGTCTTATTGCTGAAGAAAATCAAGATTATAATAATGATGACCATAAGTGCAGGGACCAGCCACAAACTTTGGAGGAAGTTGAGTTCTCCTATACAAAAGAGACACAAGAGAAATGAACGTCAAACTTTAAACTTACCAGCATACTATTTTCTATTCACAATTTTCACTGACAGATATTGGATGGTACTATGATTATAAAAAATTTTTTTAAGCCCACATTGTTTCATAAGAAATATATGAAATGGACTGGATCGACTGAAACTGAAAAGGCTGAGTCCAGGAGTGAAACCTGAATGAAATGCGTTATTATTGCCTGAATGGATAAGGACCACAAACAGATCCAAGAGTCCATGGCGTTTAGAGCTCCAGTGCACAACTCAGACCACTTCATTGTTCCCCAGGTGATAGTTTTCTCAGCAAAGAACAAAGTGAACAAAGTCACAGCAATAGATAGATCTGATGAGACGAGTAGATGGCCCGCTCTATAGGTAAAGAGCCAGGGTCGTTTTAGCAAAATAATAACAATTCTAAATAGTGAATGTATTCTTTTCTGCACACGTAATGTTATATTGTATTACATTTCTAAAAGAGCCAAACTGCAAACCAAATTAGAAGATTTGATTTTTGAGCAACACATATCACATTGCTGCCTAAAGTATTTTCAACTGGAGTAAAGACAACAACCTCCTCTTGAACACGTCCAAAACATGTGAACTGGTGTTCGACTTCAGACGTGGTCACTCTCTCTCCCATTCTCCTGTGGTCATTGAAAACTCTCAGGTGGAGATTGTTGAGGAGTGTTAGTTTCTTGGTCTAACTTTGTCCAACGATTTGAGATGGAACAAAAACACCAACCATACTGTTAAGAAAGCTCGCCAACGTCTATACTTTCTGCGGAAACTTAGAGAATTTACAAACAACTCTAAGATTTTGCTGAACTTCTACCGCTGCACCATAGAAAGCCTGCTTGCTGGTGCGATCACCGTGTGGTTCGGCAGCATCACTGCCAAAGAAAAGAGAGCTCTGAACAAAGTGGTTCGTTCTGCTCGGAGGACTGTGAACCGTGAGATGCCCGTTCTGGAGGCTCTTTACGAGAGCAGACTCTTAAACCGAGCCTTGAGGATCGTAAATGACTCCTCTGGTCATCCTGGAGCGGCCTTGTTCCAGCCTTTTCCCTCGGGGAGAAGATTCCGGTCCGTGCGATGCAGGACCTCCCGCTATGCGAATAGCTTCTTCCCTCAGGCGGTTATAAGACTGAACAGAGCGTCCCGAGATCTGCTTCTCTTTGTAGCTCCTTCGTAGCGTCCTATTAATGCTTTTAAGAGTTTTATATGTGCCTCACTGTCTCTCGCTATTTTTATTCTGTTTGTGTGTCTGCTTTGTTGTGTTGGAGCCCCCGGTGTCTCCTGTTTGTATTCCATTGTAGTTTTTTTTCTGAAAATGGCAAATAAATTGATTCTGATTCTGAACTGTGGGTAACGCAGAACTGTATTTCTTCACACATAAAATGTAATGAATTCAAATAGTTGTTCCTCAAGGTTCAATTCATGGTCACTTTTTACTCTCTATGATTTCACCGATCACATAATTAAAATTAGATCGAAGAATAAATCCTCTTCAGGATTGCTGTAGATTCCTGTGGAGTAATGTGAACTGTATATTAAGTGTAATTCATTTTTCGGGGACTTTTTCTTTGTCATTGATCGATGAAGGACATCTCGGACAATCGATTTCTCATCAGCTCCTGTCACATCAACAATTTTGTGAAGTCCATTGAAAGGGACTGCTGTTGTGTTTCTGGACTCAACAAAAAATAGATGTATTGATTTATAATGAAGCTGGCATTGCAAAAGATTCTTGTAAATGATCACACTATACAGAAATAACAGTAAAAGTGACTGTAGATATAGAAGCCTGCAGAAACAACTAAATAAAACTAATATTGTGTATTAATGTTACTGCTAATTCTACAGGATTGTAATTTTAAAGTAGGCCGAAGATTTTTTGATCCTGCTAATATTAGAACTACTATGAAATAACCCCTTTATAGAATCTGTTTTGTTATTTTACAGTAGTGGGACAGTGTTACTATTAGATTATTCATTATTCAGACATGGTATCAATTGTAGTAGTAGAAGTTAGTATTATA